AGGTGGTTGACTATGGTGGATGGGTGAAGGAGATGGTGGAGGAAGAAGGTGGAAGGTGGTTGGCTATGGTGGATGGGTGAAGGAGGTGGTGGAGGGAGAAGGGGTGGAAGGTGGTTGGCTATGGTGGATGGGTGAAGGAGGTGGTGGAGGAAGAAGGTGGAAGGTGGTTGGGTATGGAGGATGGGTGAAGGAGGAAGGTGGCTGGCTATGGGGGATGGGTGAAGGAGATGGTGGAGGAAGAAGGTGCAAGGTGGTGCTTGGCGTTATCCCCTCCCCAAATCTAAGTGTCCGGGTTTGGTCTCCCGGCATATTGCCTAACCCCGGACACAAAGCACAGTCCTACAGCACTACTCCCACAGCCTGTATGCAGAAAACACAGTTTTGCAGCAAACACAGTCTGCAGAAAAATTCGCAGATTTTGCAGTCTGCTGATTTTGGCATTTTTGTCGTTTTGCTGTTTTTTTGCTAAGTCTGGAGAGCCGAAAAACACAGATCTGTGTTTCCTGCCCCAAGCGACCTCAGAATCACTCCAAACTTGGTGGGCCCTCTCACTGTACCACAGGGAAGGCCTCTGCAAAGTTTGGTTTGATTCTGATGTCGTTTGGGCCGACTTGCCCATTTTCGGGCGCCGTCCGGCCTCAAGGCGAACTCTACGGGTCTATATCCATTGCCATTGTCTTGCTGTAAAACAACACCAATACCATACTGACGTGCATTTGTTGTAATGACAAAGGGTAAAGATGGGTCATCTACCTTGAGGACAGAGTACTCTATCAATGCCCGCTTTAACTTTTTTAGGGCCGATGTACATCATGGTCCCACTTCCAAATAACTTCTTTCTTGAGCAGTCTGCGAAGGGGAGCAGCAATTGCTCAGAAGTCCCTTACAAACTTCCTATAATAATTAGCCAATCCAAGGAACAACCTCAATTCATTGAGGGTACGCGGGGTTGGCCAGTCTCTAATCGTTGCAATCTTGTTGTCCTCAGGCTTTATGCCATCGCCATCTAACACGTGGCCCAAGTAGAAAATCTTTGTCTTGGCCCATTCGTGCTTCTTTGCGTTGATCTTGAAATTTGCTTCGCACATCTAACGTTCTGCGCAGCTCCTCCAACACCTTAGGAGACATCCTATACACTGCTCCTTTGGGAGTCTTACTGCCAGGCAAAATTGCGGTGTCGGATAGGACACGAAACTACTCCTGAAGGATCTTCTGATAGATCTACGTACTCCTCCAACAACTTGGCAATAAGTGGGGGTAGGTTCCTCTTTTTTAGGCTCGGTGACTAGCCTAACATAGGCCACAAAGACCTGTGCTCCTTCACCAAACGTGCGAACGAGGGAGCACAAAGACAACAATGTGTCAAAGGGTTGTCTACACCTGACTCATGAAACAGGCAAGCCGTCTTGTCGTCGCCTGAGGGACCAAGAAGCCTACACTTGTGCTCTCTTAAGTGTAGTGTAGACCCTGCTGCCTCCCCTCTGTCCATACCTAGGACCATATCGAATGGAAATTGTCTTCTACGAGGAGAATCAGGGAATGGATAACTCTTTCTACCTTCCCATCTTTCTCTAGGCGGAAGTACGTCTGGACTCCCTCGACGTAATCCTCGATTCCCATTGTGCGATTGTCTCCAAGGATACTTACTATGGGATCTTCTAGCCTTTGGATCACATTTAACTTCAGCTTCTGCAACGCTTTTCTGCTCTTGCTCCTGTGAGGGAAGCGCCTAGAGAGACTCTGATACAAGCAGTCTCTGGACAGCTGACTAGGCGCTGGCCAACAACCCCTGCCATAGGCTCATGTGGGTTAGGAGTTTCTACGTGGCGCACTCTGTCTTCTCCACATGGCTTAGGGGTAAGGGCAGCCGCGACCCCTACCAGCGGTTGCCTTTTGCTGCCTCTGCAGCAGATCATCGGGCATCCCTACACTTGGGGCAATATTTGATGATGTGCCCTGGGTCACCGCAATAAATGCACTGACCCGCGTCTGTCCTCTTCCGCCATATTGTTTGATCCATGCCCAACGATTCCCAGGGTCTGCCCTGAGGCAGACCAGGGTGCCATTCACCCTTCCTGGGAGGTGACCGATTAGAACGTGGACGGTTTTGTTGGCGACCTTGACCCCTTCCTCCAACTTGGCAGTTGCCTCTACCACCAACCCTCTGACCGCCCTGTCCTCGACCACCAGAGGCTTGGCCCCTTTGGCCCTGGGCCTTCCTCTACCCTGCGACCTCCCTCCGACCACGACAACAACACAAGTACTCCCCTGGCTTATGCTATTGTCCTCCTCTTCGCGGCCCCACTCAATCTGGCTATAGGGGACCTCCTCCATACCAACTTCATCTAAAGTGAGGATCAGATGATCCTTGGCCCTGACTTGGCCAGAGATGGTACAACCCTTCCACTTTTGGCCTTTGTCCAAGTCCTTGTGCCAAAAAGTGGAGGCTCACATAAATTGTGCCTCAAAAGATACAACATCCCTACTTAGTGTATCGTAGGTCATGTTGGGTTGTTTACTCTTTTCATAAAAGTGCATGTGCAAGGCTTCGGGCATGGCACAAAACAATTGAACCAATTGGGGCTCAATGACCCCATGGTGAGGGACAACAACTAACTCATCCATCACTCCCTTGAGTGCCCTGGCACTCTTCCACTGTCATGAGCGAATGGTCTGCAGCTTGTCAGAGGCCTTGAGCCCCCTAGTGACATCCGCAAACCGATCTCGAAGGGCCTTCAAAAACTCGCTTAAGGGTGTGATCGCAAAGTAGGCGACCATATCATTATCACATTTGTCGGCGCGGGCTAACGATCTCGCAAAACTGGAGGCCTCATCTTTGAGGGCGTGGAAGGTGACGAGGACTTGCTCCTTGAGAATAATATCTAAGAGGTGCACACAAGAGTTTACATTGGCCTACCAATTATCGAAGTTCTCTCCCCCTTTCCAACTGTAGGGATCAGGGAACTTCACCTTAACGCGCTCTCTACGGGGTGTGCTTCCTCCTCCTTTGGGGGCGTTGCCTTGGCAACTTCTATAGCGCCTGTGCAAAACTTCTCTGTGTTATCTAATCGTGCCTGCACTTTTGTGCCCTCATGCAACATCATATCACGTGCAAAGTCTTTAAAGCCTAAGCGTATGGACTGCAGGGAATGTCATGGTCCCTCAGATGGCGGAATTGCTCTTGTTGCACACTCCATATCACCTCCACGTTTTGCGACAGGAGTCCAATTTGGGTGTTCAGATCGGCGGTCTCATCCAACCGTCCTCCCCTCTCTGCAGCCTCATTCAGTCTCTTCTCCATCTCGTCTGCCGCCTCCATTCGCATTCTCCTTTCCCTAGTTAGGCGCAACTTCCACTCCAGCCTTTTCTCCTCATCCACAGCCTGTCGACGCAAGGGATTTTCCTCCGCATGGATCTCCTGTAACACCACCTCCCTCTCGGCCTGGGGAACATATAACATGACTTTCTCTTCTTCTCCCAGCAACAGGTTAGCCACCCAATCCTTCACCGTCTTCTGCAACCTTGTATCTGCTCGCTTCGTGCCACTTGACTCGCCTCTTTCCTCTCTCCTCACATTTCTTTCCAGGGGAATCTCTTCTTCTTCTTCTTCTTCTTCCTCAACTGAGGCCGCGACTTCTTTTTCTTTGTACAACCTCTTCAATTCTTCCTCCAACTCTTTCGCTTTCTTGGCCTTCTCTGCCAAGAGTGCCACTTTCTTCGCTTTTTTCTCTAACTCCTCTCTTCTGGCCTTCTGCTCTGCAAGAATCTTCGCGGCCTCCTGCTCCTGCTCCTTTGAATAAGGAGTGATCCTTGTACCACCACCCCTCGTCTTGACTCTACATGTGGACGTGTGCCAGAAGCCTAATTGGAACAAGAGACGCGAAAGGATCCCCTACAGGGAGAACCTCACGAGCAAGGAGTACATTGGGTAATCGTCCATGGTGAATAGTGCACAACAGGTAACTGTTCCACTCCTCACCTCTTAGACTTACCCATCGACTGACTGACTGATTGGCTCTCTAAGGACCACAGGAGCTTCTCCTAAGATCCAGCCAGGTTACCACAACCGACGGGAGCTCTCTCCACCAGTGTCACAAAAACTTTCCAGATCCCAGTGCACCATGCACCAGCGATCAATCCCACCTGGCTTTCTCTCTGGATTGGACCCTGTCAACTAGGGTCCCTAGCCTTTTCTACTGCTAACGTCGCAAACAGGAATTCTTTAACGTCGCAAACAGGACGACGCGATCCGCAAGTCCTCTCAAGACTTAGACAGCCGGTTGTGCAGCCCACAACTCGGATTTTGGGCCAACCATGCCACACCGAGTAGCCCGCCAGTTTGTACCTCCTTGGGTGGGTTAGGCCTCCGGGACGTGTCAGTTGTCAGACATGGACAGTAGCCCTACTCAGCCCGTGTGGGTTTGGTCAACACAGCCCTACGACCACATACACGGAGTCCTGTCACCTGGACAAAAGTGACTCAATGTAGAAAGAAGAGACAGACAGACTCAGCAAGTACCAAGGGGTGAGTGCACATCCATAGGGCAAGGGGATAAGCTGAAGGCTCAGCGAGATTATACCAGCTCCAGCTTGGTCAAATTCGTGGTCAACAGCCTTTGTCAACTCCAATCAACTTAGTCAAACTTCCGGTCAAACGTCGTCGGTCAACTCTCCCGGTCAAGCCTCTGGCCTTTAACTTTGACTGTCGACCTCCTCCTTCACCAACCTTCACCTTTCTCCTTCTCTCTCTGCCCCCCCTTCTCTCTTCTTCTTCACCCCCAACTATGGCTTCTTCTCCCTTGCTCGTCTCTCCTTTCTCCTTACTTCATCTGCCTTCTTCTTTGTCACTCACACGGTCATCTCCTTCCTCAACTCGAGCTTGGCGTCTATGGCCGCCACCTTTCTCCCTTGGCTGCAACAACAAATCTTGTATCGCTCTTCTCTCTCTCTCTCTCTCTCTCTCTCTCTCTCTCTCTCTCTCTCTCTCTCTCTCTCTCTCTCTCTCTCTCTCTCTCCTCTTCTTCTTCTTCTTCGTCGTTCATCGTCCTTTTCTCCTTGCTAACCCCTGGTCCTCTTCTTTGGCGTAGACTTCTTCAGCGGTCGTGGTCCTCCTTCAGGGAAACGGACTTCTTCGATGGCCCAGCAACGGCGTGCAACAACTTCGCGTGGGGAACTGTGGCAACCACGCGCAGCAACTTTGCGCAGGAACAGGCGCGCAAACTTCTACGGGCTGGCGCGCAGCGGCAATAGTGGGTGGCAACGGGAGCGCACCGGGCAGAGGCAGCAACGGGGACATCAACTTAGCTCGCGGCGGCAGCAACAGACATTGAACGAGCGCACGGTAACGAGCAGCGTGTGGCAGCAAGCAACGTACAACAAATCAGCGGCGCAAAGCAAAGCACGCAATCTCGCGCCGGAGCGCAATCACAAACGACTGCAGCACCTCGCATCGAGGGCAATGTCGGACGTCGACGGCTGACGTGGCGACACTTTTCTTCCTCTTGGCGCCGTTCGGTCTCCTCCCTCCGGTGCGCGGGCAACTTTAGGATCTGACAGGGCACTCTCTCCGGTCCTTGGTGCGGATACTAATGACTACAATGATGACGTGGACAATGACGATAGCGGCTACGGTGGAACAGCAGGAACCAGCTCTGATACCAATGCAATTAGACTGGTCGACTCCGACCTTCAGCATGCATACAAACAAATGACGATCAAGTTGGCGACTAGCGCCCACACAAAGCTCAAAGATAACGATGCCATGAACACAGTTCAGATTGAAACTTGTGTCTTTCGGCTATGGCAACAACTTGTTCGTATACACACAAGTCTGGATCTTCCTGGATGTCCCGACACAACACAATACAACACTCTCTCACACACACACACACGCTGACGCACTAACATACAGCCAGCTAACACTACTACTCCTAACTTGTTGACTTGGCGGCTATGGCCGCCTTCCTCCTACTACTACTAACTCGTTCGGCTATGGCCGACTTCTTCCTCTTAGCCCTCTTCGACAACGGGCACATGCAGACCTCCTTGCACAAGACGCTCAGGCAGCGCTTCCACATGGCTCCAGGCAGAATGAATGAATGACTTGACGCGGCATCTTGATTTACACTTCGGATGGTCAAAGGTTTGCCCTTGGACCCTAGGCCCAGGGTGCACACAATCCCACATGGTACTTGTTGACTTTACAGAGTGCAACCGGGACTGGGTACTGCTGACTGGGTTGGGTTACACTGCCCACTTGCCCACTTGCCTATGGATTGTATATTCACACTCTGAAAGCTCACTTCCGGATCGTCCGCAAGACTGCAGACTTGACCTTTCGGCACTGTAGCAGCTACGACCTTGGCCTTTCGGCACATTAGCAGCTACGACCTCTACCACTGCTAGGACTCCTAACCTACAAACCTACGGTTCGATACCCAACGACCGGACTAACGTACAACAAGCGGACATGCGACTCTCAAGACACAGGTCGCGGGTTCAAACACAGAGGGCAACTGATATTGTACACAGGTAAGGGCGAGGTCTGGGGATCGAACCCTGGGATCTGCATCCGCTACCATAAAGGTGAAAACCGTTTCACTCCCGCCGGCCTAAATTCGAGGTCCTCCGGGAATAATTCAATCTACAACAGGATCCTTACCTTTCTTTGCTCTTTCGTAGGCGCGGACTATGTCGGGAGCAGTCTCTAGAAGTTATATCGTGTGAAACAGCGGTTGTCTTCGGGCTCTTGGTTAGAAAATCAGACTTTGTACTGTTTTTGTGGACGACCTCTGCCCCTTGTTTTGGAACACATCCTCATCTATTATGCGATCAATGTCGTACCTTCCGTCCATAGCTATCGATCTCCTCGACGAAAATTGTTGACTCGTCGTGCAAGGTAACAACTTTGATGCATGAAAGACTGGATATGTATGGAGGTGTGCTGGAATCTCTATCATGTAGGACGACCCATCATCTCCGCCCTTGACTTCTAGGACTGGCCACGGTCCTCTATACGCAGGCAATAGTTTATGTGAGATATTCTCCTCAGGAGCAAACTCTTTAGATTTGACCCAGACTAAGTCGCATACTTGGAACTGTAACGGTGCTTATTGGCTTGCTCTATCATCCTATGCTGGGCCTTCCTCAGGTTCTCCACCACTTTAGCATCTTTTGCTCGTGCTATAACGCAAACTCCCTAGTACCGGGTGGTAGCCTCTGAATCTGGTCCCGGTTCAGTCCTCAAACAGTCTGCGCAGTCTGAAGGACTTGTGTAGCTTGTTGGGAGTGCGACAAGTGGCCAAGTGAACACTGTTGTTATACGCACAGGCTACCTTTGGGAGCATCTCGTCCCAGTTTACTTGATCGGGTCGAATGTACATTCTGAGAACTTATTGCATGATCTTGTTCATCTGTTCAGTCTGTCCAATAGTCTTTGGATGACGGTTAGACGATATCAACAACTTAAGAGTCGTTCACTCTCATCAGTTCCTGCCAATTCTGACTAGTGAACGTGGTATCTCTGTCACTGACTGCCGACATCGGTAGACCATGCTCACTGACCCAATGATCAAAGTACTTTATTACTAGATTTGTATGTGCCTCAGAAGGCAAGGGAAAGAAAATTGCATACTTGCTAAATCTATCAATTACAACCATAACTTGGCTCTTGCCATGCCTACTCCTGACCCTAGCATCCATGAAATCTATGGACACAAAATCGTCGGGTCCTGATGGGATAGGCAGGGGTCTGAGAAGACCCAACGGGGCTTGCATCGTAGTTTTATTGCGCTGACATACTTTGCAACTACGCACATATTCTATGCAGTCAGCTTTCATGCCAGGCCACGAATAGGCACAAATCAGGTTGGCTAGCGTCTTCTGTCAGCCGAAGTGCCCTTTAGTATCGTGACATTTCCCTAAGATTAGGCTACAAATCTTTTCGTTGTTGGGAATGCATAGTCGATCTATGACGTTTGTCTTCTCAAACAATAACCCATTAGTGGTGCGATAATTAGGCTCATTGGCTGGATTTTCCTTAACGCTTTTGAGGAGATCGCTATAGATAGGGTCTTGTGCGTACGCATCTGCAACTTTTTGTTATAAGTCTGGCGCTATATCCAGATAGTGAACTATGGCTCCAAAGTAATCGACTCTTCTACTAACGGCGTCTGCAACCACATTGTGCGCTATATCCAGATAGTGANGGCGTCTGCAACCACATTGTGCGCTATATCCAGATAGTGAACTATGGCTCCAAAGTAATCGACTCTTCTACTAACGGCGTCTGCAACCACATTGTATTTTCCTTTGACTAGCTTGAGCTCAAAGTCAAACTAGTCTATTTTTGCGGCCCACCTAGTAAGCTTAGGTGTCATCTTGGCTTGCGTCTTCAACCACCTCAACGTTTCGTGGTCTGAGTAGACTTTGAAGTGCCTCCCAAGCGAGTAATGTCTCCAGTGGTCTAATGCTTGCCTAAGAGCATAGAGTTTCATCTCATAGGTAGATGTCGCTACCTTCTCTGAAGGCATCCTAGCGGACATGAACTATACGGGTCTATATCCATTGCCATTGTCTTGTTGTAAAACAACACCAATACCATACCGACGTGCGTTTGTTGTAACAAGGAGGGTAAAGATGGGTCAACTACCTTGAGGACAGAGTACTCTATCAATGCCCGCTTTAACTTTTTTGAGGTCGATGTACAGTCTTGGTCCCACTTCCAAATAACTTCTTTCTTGAGCAGTCTACGAAGGGGAGCAGCAATTGCGGAGAAGTTCCTTACGAACTTCCTATAATAATTAGCCAATCCAGGGAACAACCTCAATTCAGTGAGGGTACGCGGGGTTGGCCAGTCTCTAATCGTTGCAATCTTGTTGTCCTCAGGCTTTATGCCATTGCCATCTAACACGTGGGCCAAGTAGAAAATCTTTGTCTTGGCCCATTCATACTACTTTGCATTGATCTTGAAATTTGCTTCGCGCAACTTTTCCAAGATCTGCCTCAGATGAGCCTCGTGCTTCTGGAGGG